AGAGTCGGATTCCGAGTCTAACAACGCTTTAATTACCATCACTTTTTCGTTACCTCGAGTCCTTAACGCTACCGAACTGACTGCGACCGACGCTACCTTTATCGAGAATTCTGATGCACTGATCTGAATGTGATTGTTCTTGCAACGAAGGCCATTCAGAGTTAGCAGATCATTGGTTGACGTGAAAACATCGACGTCGATCGCGGAAGACGCTGATCGGGCAGAAACACTGCCAGGCATGTCTTCTGTGGGTCCGGGCAAGGCAAGGCAAACAAAACATCATGAACCNAAAAAGGTCCGGTGAAACACAAGCACTCCAGATAAAATATTACTGGCTCGGTTGGCACACGTTACAATAAAACCTGGGCAATCATATACGGTCTACCAACCTAGGACTTAAAAATGTTAAAAGCGTCCCGTAGGCCTTCCTGTAGTGGTAATATTATGCAACGCTCGATGGCTGCTTTTGCGCAGTACATATGACAACTCCGTTCCGGGGTCGTCCTCATTACACGGATAAACGGCCAATATTTCACTGGCGGGCTCAATCGGTTTTACTCTGATTTCTACACTCTATCCAAAAGCAAGACAATTTACACCGTCCGACTTAAACGTTTTCCCTCTTCCTTCTCTGTTTATTAACTTTTATTATATTGTATGAGAGTAATGGAGGATGTGATTTGTTTATATGAAGAATTCGTCATGTAAATGAGGCGTCAGTTGAAAATCTGGGAAGTACTGGATGGTTGTTCCCACCTGGTTGGGTCTCATCAGCAGTGCGAATTCGTCGGCCCAAATGGGGATTGAACCTGGGACCTCACAGGTAGAACCCACTCGGCCACTGGGCAGCTGATTAGACCGTTTCTCATTTCAAGTATATATTCTTATATACATATATATATTCTTAGACAACTTTCTAGGTCATCAATTTTCTTGTTGGCTACATTTGGCACCTCAACAGCGGATTTCGGCAAGTCCCACCTTCCAAGAGTTGACTGGTCCTTTTCTTGCGTGGGGGTGTAGACTAGATCGATGCAATGTGTCGGTGAACTGAGTTTTCCGATGAATGC